CCACATTTACTTCTTGACAAACTCGTTCTAATTAGGTCTCGAGTTGACCTCTCCAAGTCCTCTGGGTGAGAAATAGTGTCAGCTCGAGAATTAAATCATTTTCTCTCTCTCAAAGTATGGTCTTCAGGCGACGTTTATCCTGTCAATGACTGATTCCCACGCAAGTAGTGCATGGTTCGCTAAAATGAACTAGGGCCTTTGCTGTTATGCTCTGACACTCTGTGTGAATTCAAAATGCTGTTTGCCTCCATTCGTTATCAGCGTTACGCAAAAAAGGGGTTGCAGTTAATAAGCTGCCACGAAATTTGGCCTCCATATTCCTTACCCGCGACAAATTTAGCGGTTAGCTAAACATCCCTATACCGGCTTCACCAAGCGCTCAGCCGATAAAATAAATTGTGACCTTTCATGCCGAAGCAGCATGTGGCCTGAAAGTATTGTAGCATTCCCGCTTCCAAATTGCTCATATACCAGGTAAAGTTCTCATCTTTTTTCCTGAATTGTAGACCTATGTCGCTCTGTCGATGATAATAACGGGAGTTGCGATCACTTCTCACGGTGAGGCCTCATTCAATGGCTTGGGCTTCGCTGCTGCCATTGGCTCAACCATGGCGGGTGCAGCGTATGGATTTATCATGAAGGAGGTAAGTGCATGCAAACTTACTCGGGAACTTAGAACACAAAAACAAACTTCATTGGAAATTTGTCGATGCTGAGGAAAAAAATTTCAAGTAGTCATAATTCACGACAATACCTAAGGCTTGAACTCGCGACCATTTGGTCAGAAGTATAACAATCTAACCCTTCAGCCACGTGCTCGTTGTTTTGGGTGTTTAGATCGGGAGTTATTGACATTCGTTGATGAAGGTTCACTGATCACTAACGCAACTCTCTTGTCCTGTTCATGTTTTCGTTCTTCGGGAACTTAAAAACAAACTTTCTTAGAGATGTGTCGATTCTGAAGAGCAAGAGGTTAAGTAGTCATGCTTTACAACAATACGAATACAAAAACGATACTTATGTTTCGATTTTTTATGTTTGGGTTTATAAGGGCAGTGAATAGCATTAGGAGTATTTGCGATATAAGTAATCTTTTTAGCGTGTGCCCTTTAATTATGAGCCGATATCATGGCTTGCCTATAAAACCTTAAGATTTTTTTCGGCAAACAAATCAAAATGAATAATTTTAAACGAAATTTCTTTTCAAACTTCTAGTTAATATTTCAATGTTTGTTTCATCTACCGTCTATTAGTATTCTGCTTTGATTTATTGATTATATGATTGCATTGCAGTTTAGTTTAATAATAGTCTCTGCAAAAGGAGCAAAGAGGCCGTTTAATGAGACTGCTAAATATCCGCTTTTTCTACAGGTGATGATCCTCACGAAATTGCACGAGTTCCAATTGTTGAGGCTGGTCTCCGGCCTCAGTTTGATACTTCTGCTACCGGTCTGGCTAATAGTCGATTTCAGGCAGATTTTTCTGTCAACCGACGACCCGGTAAGTCCGCCCTGTCTCTGAACTATTGTTTTTTAAGTACCCTTATAGTATTGTGTTACGACCCGCGCCTGGGTCTTTTAATTAGCACGAATGGTGAATTATTTTGAGTTGACCCAAGTGTGAAAAACTCTAGGCGTTTGGCGGGTCAACTCAAATTAAGCAAATCTGCCAAACCAACTTAATAATGGTGAATTAATCAACCACGGTGCCCAAAGTCTGGTACGAGTGAAGCAAGAGAAGACAAGCGATCACGATAGAACGTGCATTCACACAAGCACGTTAACGCAAGTCGTGCTCACACAAAGGCCGAATGTACTTAAGGGGGCGTGAGAGAGAGAGAGAGAGAGAGAGAGACAGTTCGAGAAAATGAGCCAA